TGCCACCACCACCCAGATGGATTTTCCTTCCTAAGTCCTTGCAAAACTTGATTCTGGGCCATCTTCTGGAAACCCAGCGATGGACCTGTTCAGAGCCCACTCACCTGGCCAGTATTCAATTAAAGTTTGCTTCAAATTTGGCTTTAAATTGTGGCCCTGGTCTCATTCTCTATCAGTGGAATTGACAGCAGCTTGCAAGAGTCCGTTCTTTCCTTCAATCATGTGGGTCCCAGAGTTTGAACTCAGGTTGTCAGGCTTGGTGGAAATGCTTTCTCTGCTAAACTATCTTGCTGGCTCCATAACTGGTTTTCATAGTTAACAAAATGATCCCTTAAATCTCAGGTGCTTAATTCAGCCCTTTATTGTTGCACTGAATGCACTGAACTTAAGAGGTTCCCAATATTTTATTTTTAGGCTTCAAACTGACTACGTAACCAAGATTGATATGTTTTTAAAATTTTTTATTTTACATGTGTGGTTGTTTTGCTTGCATGTATATGAACCACATGCGTGCAGTCCCCGTGGAGGCTAGAAGAAGGCATCAGATCCTCCTGTGAACTGGCATTACAGATGGTTGTTAGCCATCACATGGGTACTAGGAATTGAACCCAGGTCCTCCGCAAGAACAACAAATACTCTTAACCCCTGATCCATCTCTCCAGCCCCCAAGGTTGGTCTAATCTATGGTGGTTTGAATGAAAATGGTCCCCATAGGCACATAGGGAATGATATTATTTTAATGTATTAGGAGGTGTGGCCTTGTTGGAGAAGGTGTGTCACTGGAGGTGGGTTGAGGTTTCAGAAGCTCAAGCCAGGCTCAGTCTCTCTTTCTTCCTGTTGCTTGCAGATTTGGATGTAGAGTCTCAGCCATTTTTCCAACACTATGTCTGCCTGCATGCTTCCATGATCCCTGCCATGACGACAATGGACTAGACCTCTGAAACTGTAAGTCAGCCCCAATTAAATATTTTTCTGTATAAGAATTGCTGTGGTCATATTGCAATAGAACGGCAACTAAAATATAATCCTTCTGCCTCCACCTCCCCAGTGCTAGGATTACAAAGGTGTACCACCACACCTGATTTATGTGGTAGTGGGCATTGAAGCCAAGGCTTTGTACACGCTAGGCAAGCACCGTACTTACTGAGCTACATCCCCTGACCTCCTCCTCTATCTTTTTTTCTTTTCTTTTTCTCACATGCTGGGGACAGAACAAGGACATTGCTGCAAAGTACTGACCTGCTCCAAACTGGTTAGTTTATGATTTATCAGCCTGACCACAAACTTCAACATATCTGGGAAGAGGGGAGTCTCAACTGAGGGATTTCTTTTCTCAGATTGACTCATGGGCATGTCTGTGGGGCATTTTCTTGCTTGCTCGTTGATGTAGGAGGGCCTATCCCACTTTGGGCAGTGCCATCCTTGGGCAGAAGGGTCCTGGCTGTCTGAGAAAGGTAGCTGAGGGGCTGGAGAGGTGGCTCAGTAGTTAAGAGCACTGGCTGCTCTTCCAGAGAACCCGGTTCAGTTTGTAGCACCCACATGCGGCAGCTCACAACCTCTTTTGGCCTCCAAGGGTATTGTACTCACACATGCCTGTTTCCACGCACAGATACACACATGATTAATAATAGAATGAAGTGTGTGTGTGTGTGTTGGGGCAGTAGACAGGAGAGAGAGGAGAGAGAAGGGGGAAGAGAAACGGGGGAGACAGAGAGGAGAAAAAAAGATAAACCTTGGTCTCTGGTCCTGAGCCTCCCTCAGTGACAAACTATGATATATTAGCTGAAATAAACCCTCTCTGCAAGTTGCTTTTGGTCAGTTTGCTGGATTATTTTGTCAATTTGATCCAAGCTGCAGTCATCTGAGAGGAGGGAACCTCAACTGAGAAAATTCCTCCATAAGATAGAATTGCAGGTAGACCTGTAAGACATTTTCTTAATTAGTGATTGATGGGGGAGGGCCCCGTCCATAGTGGGTAGGGACATCCCTGGGCTGGCGGTCCTGGGTTCTATAAGAAAGCAGGCTAAGCAAGGCGTGAGGAGCAATCCAGTATGTAGTACCTCTCCATGGCCTCTGCATCAGCTCCTGCCTCCAGGATCCTGCCCTGTTTGAGTTCCTGTCCTGACTTCCTTCAGTGATGAACAGTGGTGTGGAAGTGTAAGCCGAATAAATCCTTTTCCTTCTCAATTTGCTTTTTGGTTGTAGTGTTTCATCGCAGGAACAGAAACCCCGACTAAGGCAATTGGTATGCTATTATTTCTCACAGCAACAGCTAGAACACCTCCTTTCCCAGGAAGAGGAAAGCAGGTAAGCCCTGGGTTCTGAAATGAGGCAGTCGATTAAGCTGCACATGGTGGAAGAGAGAATTCATGTGTAGACAAGTTAGGCAGAAAAAGTCAATCTGTAGCTCTGGAAACAGGGCTTGGTGGATCCACCACACACCCGGGTGTAGATGAAGACCCAGGCTGCCCAGGCAAAGCCATCAAACCCTCCAGCTGACCCTGGCAGTTTCATGGATGGCTATTCCAGCCAGGTTGTGTCCTGAACTTTGAGACCAAGGTGCAGTTGGTGGCCAGAGGTGGAAATACCTCCAGGAATGTGATGACCGTGATGGCCACTGAGGATCTCTTCAAGAAATACGTGGGTGTGCGCAAGTCTAAGGTTAGGCCTCGGCAGGAAGACACTTGTGAGGAAAAGCTCAGCTGAGGAACTCGGGACGGGGTGTGTCACAAGCACCTAGACACTGAGCGTTAGGCCTGCAAATATTTAACAGCCCCATATAGTTCAGCCCCGTGAGGCAGCCTCCGCCCAAGGAGCGCAGGCCGAAAGCCAGCCGGCAGCAGTGTGTGGGAAGTTTGTGTGTTTTGAATACAGAATTAAAAGGCAGGATGGGGGTGTAATGGTGAAGTTGGAGCTACAAAAGGAAACATGTTTTAGTTAATTGAACTGATATCACACCACTCATAGAACTTGAGTGTAAGCAGCGTGCCTGCTCCATTCAGAGGTCAGACTGTGACAGCTTCTTTCTTCTTTTAAATTGCACCTACTTTTTATTTATTTATTTTTGTTTATTGTGTGTGTGTGTCGAGGTCAGAGGTCAACTTCTGTTGGCTGATCTTCTTCTGACTTGGGGAGGACTAAACTCCAGTCATCAGACTTGACAGCAGGTACCCTGACTCACTCAGCCAGTCAGCCCAAGATGGTGGCATTTCTTCCAGGATTAACTGGAAGATGAGTAAGGGATGTGTTTCTGCATGAACCCCAAAGAGATTAGTGAACCAGGGACAGGGAATCATTTCTGTCCCCATACTCACCAACCCCAGATGACCCTCGTGTAAACAACTGGAACTGCTAGAGATAGTGAAGCCATGGCAGGGCAATTTTGGCTTTCCTTAAGAAGTGACCCAGTGTGCCCTGGTGGTGACGCACGCCTTTAATCCCACACTCGGGAGGCATAGGTAAGTGGATCTCTGTGAGTTTGAGGCCAGCCTGGTCCACAGAGGGAGTTCCAGGACACGAGTCAGAGCTACTGAGAAACCCTGTCTCTGCGAACCAGGCTGTGGGGCTGGAGAGACAGCTCATTTCTTTTTTTTTTTTTTTAAATATTTATTTATTTATTATGTATACAATATTCTGTGTGTATGTCTGCAGGCCAGAAAAGGGCACCAGACCTCATTACAGATGGTTGTGAGCCACCATGTGGTTGCTGGGAATTGAACTCAGAACCTTTGGAAGAGCAGGCAATGCTCTTAACCACTGAGCCATCTCTCCAGCCCCCCAGCTCATTTCTTAAGAGTGCTTGCTACTCAAACATGGGGACCCAGGTTCAGATCCTGGCAGCCATGCCTATAACTCCAGTTCTGAGGGATCTGATGCCCTCCTAAAGACAAACAAACACACATAAATAAAATAAATCCTTAAAGAAAATGGGTGGTTCAACTAGGGTTGTGTCCTATATAAATGGTACCAGCACACACCTGAATCCCAGAACTAGATACATGGGTCAGTGCTGTTTTATTTTTTTTTTTTTGAGAAAGTGTTTCTTTATGTAGCTTTGGTGCGTGTCCTGGAACTCACTCTGTAGACCAGACTGGCCTCGAACTCACAGAGATCACCTGTCTCTGCCTCCTGAGTGCTGGAATTAAAGGCATGTGCCACCACCACCCAGCTCCTTGTTAATTTTGAATTAAAGAAGTTTATGAAGGTTGGAGAGATGGCTCAGTGGTTAAGATGTAGGTGGGTCTCTGTGAGATCACATAACCTACAGGAATCCTTGGGAGTGCCAGCCACATCCACTCCATGCCAAGTTAGGGGTGTGTGTGTGTGTGCGCGCATGCGCGCGCACTGGAACTAGAATTCAGATCATTGGGGATGCCAGGAAAATAAGTAAATACTCTGCTGAGTTAGACAGACCAGTTAGGTCGTTTTGTTGTTTTGTTTTGTTGAGAGAGGGTCTCTCTATTATGTAGTTGTAGCTGTCCTGGAAACTCACTCTGTATATCTGTATATATATACTCCCAAGGATTCCTGTAGGTTATGTGATCTCACTCTATGAACATTCAAGTATCTGACAGGTGGATAAGGGAGTTTATACATTCATTTTATGGGATTATAGATTTCCTTCACTTTGACGGGGGGATTCAAGACAGGGTTTCTTGGTGTAGCCCTGGCTGTCCTAGAACTCTCTCTTTAGACCAGGCTGGCCTCAAACTCACAGAGATCCACCTGCTTCTGCCTCCCAAGTGCTGGGGTTACAGGTGTGCACCACCACCGTCCAGCTTTTCCTTTGCTATTTTTCGGCTGGAAAATTATGGACACCGGGGCTTTTCCTCCCAACGGTCTTGCATGTGAGGCCATGTATGTCCCTCAGTAGGGGAGGCATGCTTACACATAAGGCCATAGCACTGTGTACAGTAATCGGCTTCTTCCTTCCCCACTGACTGTCCCATTAACACTGGCTAACAGTCCCCTGAGACTAGTTGAGAAAGAGGAAGCTACGCTTGGGAAGAAGATTGCTTTGTACTTTATTTACAACAGAATGTAAGAAAAAGTAAGATATCAACAATAATAAATAACGGGGGCGGGCACAGACGACAGTACAGCCATAGAATGACACAGACGGACGCGCGTCCCTTCCGCTCGCCTTGCTGGCAACTCTCTGTGTTCCAACACTTGGTCCTTCAGCGGTGGCAGTGGTATTTTATAGAGTAAGTCAGCCAATCAAGATCTCAGCTCGAAAATGTAAACACTGTTTTACACTGGAAAGGACACATACACGGAACATGGATAACGCCAACTCAAGAGAACCTCCTCTTTCTTTGGGGGGCACAGAGAAACCTAAAGGGAGACTTGAAATTCTACAAACACCACTTCAACTTGAAAAATCAGAAGGAGGGGAGGCTTATGGTGAGCATAACTTCACGGAGTTGCAGTTAAGGGGTACTGTCTCTAACACCCTCCACGAATTCATCCTTTCACGGCATGACGTCCCGAAAAGCTTGAGCAGTTAGACAGCAGACACGGACCGCTTTGGAGGTGGCGCACAGAAGAACCCAAGCTGTCTTGCGTCTGTGTGTCAACACCACGTGACGGTGTCTCACCAAGGATGAAGAGCTTAATGTATTTATTTATGTCAATTTATAGCCCAGGCCAGGATTCTGTCATCTTTGCAACTATGGCTCAGACGGCCTACTGTCATCTAGCCACCTAGTCGGGTGACCGACAAAGCATGGGGAACGGATGGAAACCCATGGAGCTATTCTCCCTGGGATGAACTGCTCAGATGGAAAGGATAGTCAACCCTATGCCGGCCTTTTTCATAAAGGAAATTCCTATCGACCTAAACCAGCTGGCAGCCTGGGGTCTGTCACCTCTGAGCAGCGCAGAGATACTGAAGGAGGTGGGATTTCAAAGCACTCAGAAACACCTGAGCCTAGAAATTTCACTCAAATGGGTTTTTATCAAGATGTCTCTTAGTTTACAGTTTATGACAGGCTGTGAAAATAAGCGACATGAGTACTAAATTATATCTGTGTGTGTATGTGTGTGTACACACCACTGAATGTGACGGTTAGAGGACAACTTAAGAGAATTAGTTTTCTTTCATGTGCAACCTGGGGATTGAACTCAGGTTGTCAGGCTTGGTGGCAAGTGCTTCCGGCCCTCTGAGCCATTCTGACAGCCGTTGCTTGTGTGTGTGTGTGTTCATTATGTGTTTGCGTCCATTCACCCACAGTTGAGCTAACTTATTTCCACCCCCTAGAACACGCTGACGCGCACCTGTAAATAAATTAAAACAATTCCCCACATCGATGCGAGGACTTTACAAACAGACCCAGCAACAAAGTGGCAACCGACAATGTCGCAGCCTCTCCTCTCTCTCTCTCAGTTCTTTTGCGTTCTCTAACTGCAGCTCGAGAGGAAATGCTCGTCCGAGGCAGCTTCAGACAGACCTTATGCAATAAGACACCGCAAAGCCTCCTTGAGCCAGGAAAAGCCTGGACAAAGCGACAGTGCTGTACCACGCCTAGAGCTCAGGGGTATTGCCTATCCGAAAGCCACCTGGAGTAAAGACATGTATGGCCATTTCAGTAGCATCCACCAACATCGGCGATGAAGAGGGGGTAAACACAGGTATTATCCTATGGGTTACTTCCTTCAGTTTGGCTACCGGAGACTTAGAACTGTGGTGCGGGACTCACTATCCTGCATTTTTGTCTATGTATATATATATATGTACAGGTATAATACAGTTTTGGTGAACAAAGTTGGAGGTTTTCACATGGCAGACAGAGGCACTGAGTTAAGGACTCTATTTCCCCCTCAAACATGCTTAGTAAATTCAAGTTTCTGCTATATTTTTTTTTGTCTTCCCAAATTTCCATCATGCAGCCATTTTGTTTCCATCCTCACAAGAGTTATTCATGTCCTATGTACACATTCATCGCGGGCTTCTATCCCACAGGAGCGGACTCAGGTCAGGACAGAGCGAAGAGATACTTGGAAAAATCAAGATTCAGAAAATATCGAAGTCAGGTATGCTTTGTGATGACGGGATTACATATTCCAAGCAGCTAACGAAATATCCAGACTCCCACCCCTTCCTTAGTTGTGGCACAGGCAAACCACACGTAGGCAGAAAAGCTGAACACACGCGTGCTGGTTAAGAATTACACTATCAGAGGTTAGCGCCGCAATTGGTGTCAAAGGTGTTGGGCTGACTATAAAGGAAAGAAAACCCACAGAAAGGGAATCAGAAAGTGGCTTTTCAAAGTGAAACAGACTGCTGACCTTGACAACAAAAGCTGGCATAGAAAAGGGAACGTGGCATGGTACTGACACGAAACCAATTTGTACCACACGAAAACCAATGAGCCCACCCCAGCCGGGTTTCAGCTTGCAAACGGGGAGCAGATATATAGACTCTGTGTCTTCTCAAAGGGAGAATTTTGCTTTTTAAAGCCAGACATTCTCACTGAGTACAGCCGCTTGGAGAGGGAGCCGCTGAGCAGTCCAAAGGGTTCGAGGGAAGATGGCGACTTCCCACAAGCGAGAGTCATGCTTCTCGGGCACCCTACTACGGCACGGCCCCCTTAAGGGAAAGATGAACTGGTGCGCAGAGCTATTTGCAGTTTTCCTTTGAGTACTGGGCGCAACATCCATCTACTGATAAATGATCTAGGCATACTCAGCACTCCGGTGCTGGGCTCAAGGGGCCAGCGCCTGTGAGAGACACTGGAGTGCAGAGCACTCAAGACAGGGTGCGGGCAGGGTCCTTTGGCTGGGAGCGGGCAGGGAAGGAGAATACACTCCTAGGTCTGTTTTCTTTCCTTTGGGATCTGTGTTGGGGGTCATTTCCTTGCCTGAGGTTGGAGGCCACAGTCAGAAAGGACAGCTAGGACATGGGCTCTGGAGCTCCCCAGCGACCTCTTGCTCATTGCTGACATTCTGCTTGCCTTCCCCATGGATTTAAAGACAGTGAGGGGCAACAGTGACAGGTTCCTCCCTGCCATTTTGACGAATGACCTTGCCAGCTGTTGGCCTGGACTCTGACGTCCATTTCAACGTCTCTCAGCAATGAGATCAGGACAAAGGGGGCATTTATGACCACACCTCTGTACGAATAGGACTCGGTGATTCCAATCATGGAGACAAGGTCCCCAGGTGACTGTGTTTACTGGCTCCCCCAGACATTGCCAACAGCACTGTTTCCTTTACGCAGGGTTGGGGACGGAGCCCAGGGCCGTCTGCATGCTAGGCAAGAACTCTACCATTGAGCTACACCCCAGCCCACAATATTTGGATTGTAAGGAAGGAGTAAGAGAATAATGTTTTCTAAACCTGGTGATTGGCATCCCATTCCAGGTATGTCTGGGTGTTGCTAAGCACTTTTAACCGGGTCGGGAGGATTCTTTTTTTGCAAGGTTTGGACACCGGACATTTTGATAGTGGTTAAGCCCAGGTAACTTAGTCCACTCTGAACTTCCTCATGTGGGAGATTGTCAATGAATTCTATTTAGTTCACTGGAATTTCTGAGGCCTGTAATGGATGATGGACACTCACAGGTCAAAGGTCAAGCTTCATTGGTACCTGAAGAGGAGGTGTTTGTCTCACCTGGGGCTCTCAGTTTCCAGATCATTCCACATTATATCAGCTATGATCACAGTCATCCAGGCAAGTCTAAAAATTTGAGAGGCCACCAGGGTACAAAAGGGGAAATTACTAAGAGACGGGAACAGATGGGATCTTTATTAAATTCTATGAAAAGGTATAAAGAAGTCATTGTTTAATTGCACTTGGAGCCTCTAGAAATTGGTCATTAAAATTTTCAAAAATTTAAGGAGTTGATTAGGCCCCAAATCCTGAGTCAGACTAATCAAAACAGGAATATTGATAACAATTGGCATTCAAGTATTGGTGGTCAGCAGTCCAAAATTTATCTATTAGGCGAGTGACACCTGAGAGTATTTTCTTTTTTGTTGTTGAGAATTTCATGTTTGATGGGAGGAAATTGACTTCATTATTTTACCACATCTTACAAAAATAAAAACAAAACAAAACAAAACAAAAAATCAACAAAACCGGCTTCACGGCTTTCCATCCATTCACCTGGTTACCATTGAAGCCCACGTCAGACTCGCCAGGGCCCCCCACACATAAATCTATAGATGCTGTGGGGTTTTTGTTTGATTGTTTTTGATTTCATCACGCCGGGGATGGAACGCAGGGCTTCATGCAAGCTCCTGCAGCCCTTTCCTGGCTAAGTTCTCTCCTCAGCACCCTCCTGTTTTATTTTTCCTAGTCTTACATCTCATGTTCACTATGATGCTGTGTGGCACACGTAGGGGTTCTTGCTATCTGTTAAAATATTTAACCACATGCACACTCTGAGATCAAAGGACATATCTGAGTGACGAGGCAGTCCTTTCCTCTATCAGAGAATTCTTAAAAAAAAAAAAAAAAAGCCTCAAATGAAAATACAAAACCCAATGGGATGTTCACATGAAGTTACTCTGACTTGGGCCGACATGGCTTTTCAGAAGAGTGGACACCAGGTAAATTCAGGGTGGTTTTTTTCTCGGGATCCGGAAGTGTGAGTGTCTCTGGAGCAGATTTTTTCCGGGGCCGGTCTTTGGGAATGGACAGGAATTCTGGCGCATCTGTGGAAAGAGGGGTGGACGGGGCGCTGGACGGGGCGCTGCGCACTGAGGAAGGCAGCAGTGCGATGCTGGAGATCGAAATGGCGGGTGGGAAAACGCCGATTTTCTTGTTGGTGGCTTCCTGAGTGGCTCGTTCGAATTCTCGCACTTCGTCCATTGTCATGTCTTCCAAGGGAAAAGCAGAGAGGACAATACACAGTTACCACGCAGACGTGCAAAAGGGTTCACCGCTAAGTCTGGGGGCTGTACCGTGAAGGAGACCCCCTACCCACCACAAGCCCCAACTGGTTTAGAAAAGCTAAGCCCTCATCCCCCACTGCCACTGCCACCCTCATCTCTGATACTGAAAAGAATATTCTTTTTTTGGATATCAATTCAAGGATTTTCGAATGACTCTTCAATTAGTATTTAGAAATTACTGAAATACATTTTTTTAAAAATTATTTGCTGTGGATGTGTGCGTGGTGGGGTGGATGAGTGGGGGTCGGAGGACCGCTTCCAGGAGTCAGTTCTTCCGCTATCGGAAGTCACTGGATTGAACTCAGGTTGGCAGCCTTGGCAGCGGTAGCTACCTTTACTCAGCAAGTCATCTCATCAGTCCAATTAGTAGACTCCAAAAATATTTGTGTGTGTATGTGTGTGTGTGTGTATGTGCACACATGTACCTCCGGGTACACAAAGGAGCCGGAAGAGGGCATCCTTTGACACAGAGTCTTTCCCAGAAGCTGCGCTCACATTTTCTACCCTCTGGGTCCTCCTATTTCTACCCCCTCCCCCGTGAGCTACAGCGGCGGACTTTGCGGGGTGCCTGGATTGTTACTTGGGTGCCAGGATCTGAATTTCAGTCCAGCACAAGAGCTCTTAATTGCTGAGCCATCTCCAGCCACCTCAGTATTTTAAGTATTCCAAGTCAGGATTTAACGAGGGAGTGTAAAACCAGATCCAGTAAATGTGTGCAGGGTGTGTGTGTGCACGTGTGCATGAGTGTGTGAGGCTGTATGGGGCTTTTATTAGACTGGGTCACGCCCTCCATACAAAGGTCATTAAAGCAATCAGTGACCTTGCCAACATTACTCTCAAGTTTAGATTGCCAAAGAACCAGATATCTTTAGAGGGCAAATTCAGGCCAAATCTCTGAACTCAGCATTTTATCCTCAGAACACACTTTTTGCACTCTGAAGGCCACAGGGCTGTTATTGTGATTCAGCAATAAATGCTGATAATTGCTCCTCAAAAAGGAAAATAAAAATCACCCCCAAGGTAGTTTGAAAGCAAAAGGAAAGAGAATAAAAAGAAGGGATTATCTAAAGAGTGAGATGTGTGGGGGGGGACACACGACATCATTTGGTATCCAACAGCTAAGCCAGTAGTGCCTTCCTCGTGTTTTAGGTGTTGGGTTTTCAAATATATGCTTCAAGTTTTTATTGTTTGGGACTGGAAAGATGGCTCGGAAATTAAGAGCACACACTACTCTTCCAGAGGGCCAGAGTTCAGTTCCCAGCACCCACACCAGGCGACTCACAATCACCTGTAACTAGTATTGAGGGAGGGCGTGTGGAGGTTAGAGGACTTTGGGGAGGTGGTTCTTGCCTTCTAGCCTGTGGGTCCCACAGATCAAACTCAGGTTACGGCTAGGTGGCAAGCACCTCTACTCACGGAGACATCTTGTGGGCCCTTGTCATTGTTACTATGAATTAAGTCTGGCTATTCCTGGCATCCTTTGGTGATGTTTCTTACTAGGAGCAGAGAAGTCGGGTAACTGGGGCTATCTAAACGAGCCTGAAGTTAAGGCTTGACCTTGGAGTAGAGTGGAGCCTGTGAGCTCTCTTTCTCTACTTTGGCTCACATAGGTTCGTTCTTTCTGGTCCTCGGGGGCTCAGACTTCCTGAATGATAGTGCACACCTCAACAACATGCCTTAGAAATGTGGACATGTGGCACGAACAGTAACAACACAAAGCTGATCAATAGATGTCCTTGTGTTGCTGAGGATCAAACCCAGGGCCCCCGGGTGCCAGGCAGGAGCTCTACCACGGAACGACCACTGGATTCAATAACGTCAAAACAATAAAACCTTTTTTGTTTTTTAGCTTTGAGAGATAGGGTTTCTCTGTGTGGCTCCAGCAGGCCTGGAACTCATTCTGTAGACCAGGCTGGCCTCAAACTTAGAGATGGGCTTGCCTCTGCCTCCCAAGTACTGGGATTAAAGGCATGTGCCACCATGCCCAACTCAAAAAACATTTTCCATGAAATGGAATCTGTAATCATTTCCTTATGAAATTATTAAAATTTCCTGAAAGGGAATTTTTTTTACAAAGATTAAGAAATTACAATTGTGTTGACATGATGCAAAATTTATATTATTTTAAAAGAAATTATACCTGTAAACTCACTACTTTTAAATAAATAAAGGAGATTAAACTTCTTTAAAAGCAGCATTTACTTGGAAATGAAATTGGGACTTTATAAATACAATAAATTTTAATATAAAAAATTTTAGTGCACCAGGATATATCTTGACACTACTTGATTAACAAGCGGCAGAAAACATTGTGATACTAGATGTATCCAGCAGGGGGCAGAAATGACACAGAGTACAGAACTTGGATTTTTTTTTTTTAACTCAGAGTATCTATCTTCCTTGGAGGCTTTGAAACTACCGAATTGTCAATGAGACTGTCCTCTCTCTCTCTCTCTCTCTCTCTCTCTCTCTCTCTCTCTCTCTCTCTCTCTCTCTCTCTCTCTTATTGCTGTGTTCATGGATGCTAATTTTGCTTACTTCCACCTTTGTTCATGTTCAGGGTGAAAATTTAAGTTCCATTTTAGCAGCCATAAAGGTTATTATTTTTTGTTTTTAGAGAGGCCCTTGGGTAGCTCAGGCTGTCCTCTGCCTCACTAGGTAGCGGAGGATGACTGTGGATTTCTGATCCTCCTGCCTCTACCTTCCCAATGCTGGACTGCAGGTGTGTGACGCTAGCCCTAGTTTATGTGGTGTTGGGGACAGACGGAGCTCAGGGTTTTGGGCGTGACTGGCACTTTGCCAGATGAGCTACACCCTGGCCCTTATGTCGTTTTATCACTATTTATAAATTTTAAAATTTTTTTAGTTTTAAACTTAAGTGTGTGTATGTGCGTGCGTGCGTGTGTGTGTGTGTGTGTTTGCGCACATGAAAGTCAAAGGGAACTTCTTGACGCCAATTCTCTCTTCCCAGAGTTACACTGGTTCTGGGAATCAAACTGCAGTCACTTGGCTTGTATGGCAAGGGCCTTTCCTTGCTGAGCCACCTTGCTGGCCCACCCATGCAGATTGTATTTGTGGTGCAAACAGTCTCTCAACTTTAACCATCCGATGGAACAATAAGATCGTGAAAGATAAGCGATCCCCGATTCCATGAAATTCCAAAGAGAGAGGGCAATCTCACAAGACAGCCATTGTGCCGAGATCACGGCAACAATGGGTGGTTTGCAGCCAGAGACTATGTGGGCTGCCTTTCTGGATTATCACCTTCTCCTGCACAGTAAGATGACTTAGTGCTAATGATGATGAATTAAAACAGAAAGGAACTCATGCAAAGGCCTGAAGCTGTAAGCTCCCCCGTACCCCCATCCTGAGATAGAGTCTCACACTGTAGCTCAGGCTGGCCCAACTCCAGGCAATCTTCCTGCCTCAGCTCTCAGCCACCAGGCCGGGCTGAGACCCTGGAAACAGTGGTACTCAGCGCCCTTCAGGATCCCTCGTCCCTCCCTCCCCTGTAGCTTTCTTTGTCTGGTCCTGTTTATAGTGAGCAACATTCAGAGCAGTTGATGGGCACTGTTTGACATTCCTAAGAGAAAAGGTAATCAAAAGTAACGGAAAATTCGGGACCGGTTTCCTTAAGGAACATTCCTATCTTTAGAACAGGAAAAGGCGTGGTGGCGAGGCATCTGACCAAATCAGGGTGTACCTTCGGCAAATCGTGCCCCAACATTTTTCTGCAAAACCCAGAGCATGCAATAGGGGGGAGGCAGGGCTGGGGCGCTCTCAGGCTCACGGGTGGTCACATGCATCAAATGCTGTGCACTAGCCTGGCGAGGCACAGTCAAAAGACATGCTTCAAACATTTCCAAAATGTTACCAAAAAGTCTCCGCAATTCTAAAGCCTTTGTCACAACAGCCACCTCTCAAGTTCTGTAATTATATTCTTATTTTTTAAAAAAGATTTATCACGTATTTATTTACTTATTTTGTGTGTGTGTGTGTGTGTGTATACATGTGTGCATGTGTGCATGCAGTAGTGCCTGCCGAGAACAGAGAGAGCATTTGATACTCTGGACCTGGAGTTGCAGACAGTTGAGAGCCACTAGATGTGGGTGCTGGGAACCGAACCAGGGTCCTCTGAAAGAGCAGCAAGGGCTCTGAGCCATCTCCCTAGAGCAGTGGTTCTCAACCTTCCTAATGCTGTGACCCTTTAATATAGTTCCACATGGTGTGGTCACCCCAGCCATAAAACTATTTTTGTTGCTGCTTCATAACTGTAATGTTGATACTGTTACGAATCGTAATGTAAATATCTGAATTTTTGGATGGTCTTGGGCGACCCTATGAAAGGATCATTCGGCCCCCAAAGGGGTTGTGATCCACGGGTTGAGAAACACTGCTCTAGACCCTACATTCTCATTCCCTAAAAGGTAAAACAGAGAGGTACCTGCCATGTAATAACTACGTTCTTGAATTTTAAAGTGTCTCATACATATTATCCCAGGGCCTGGACACGGCAGACACAAGAACTCAAGATGTTCTCAGAGAGATCCCAGCTCTGGTCGAGACCCCTATGGTTTAGTATTAATCCCTTGTTATCTACACCTCCTCCTCATTAGCTGGACTGACTGAGAGATAACTTACATTTAAATTCTGGTGTTATACCTTGTAGTCAGCTCTCATTAACCAAGGCTGTCTAAGGCCTTTGGTAAATCCCAGGCCCTACCTACTACACAGCATTCCCGAATCCCAGCTGGTCCCCTGCCACCCCTGACATATACGTGGGCATGGACTGCAGCTTAGTTTTGAGATTAGCCTAAGATTAAAGGGAACTGGTTGAGAAAAACAGCTCGGAAGAGTTGTAGAAAGCCTTTCGAAGCCTAAGAAACCTAAACCCCGGAGCACAAGGGTTAACTATGCCCTGAAAA